CCACTTTCCTTCAGAGTTTAGCTCCAACTCTAATCAAACACACCTGAACCAGCTAATCATTGTCTTCAAGACTACTAGAAAGCTACAGGCAGGTGAGTTTTATCAGGGTTGGACCAAATCTCTGCAGGAAAGTGGCCTGGAAGGGCCAAGTTTGCCCATCACTGTTCTAGAGCAATCTAGAAACTAATTTCTGGTAAGTTACATTACTGTCTGCTGCTTATGCTCCGAGGTTCAGACCCCCATGCAGTTGAACAGCAAGCTACCAACACATCAAATGTCCAGAAACGACCTTTTGCTTGTTGATACAAATTGTATCTATTTCTTGATTGTAAAAAAAAAATATATATATATATTTCTGAGCTGTACAGTATCACTTATATGAGTATATATATCTATATATATTTAAAAAAAAAAGCTTAGTTTTGTTTTAAAAAAAAAGGATAAAGAAATATAATGCCATAATGTCAGTGATACCGTGTGTCACTCGAGTAGCCCATAGAGATGGCTTATTTCCTGCTGGGCAGACCACAGACAGGGATCTCTCTCTCTCTCTCTCTCTCGTTTCTTTCTCCGTTCTCTCATACTTCCTTTACCTTTCCATGCCTTGAAATTTGCTGTTTGATGGGTATTTTGGAAAGTGATAGTTTACCTCAGTGGAACTGAACTTCATTTCTGTTTGACTGAAGGATTTTTAGGGCGTGGCTTTATTTATCATCATTCAGTCCCTCTCTGTTAAAGGTATAGATTCAGGAGAGACACATTCTGACTCAATCTGTGTACTCCTAATATATTTTTCCTCTTTGTAAATATTGAAAATTAATGTCAATCCTCTTGTATTTGCACAGTATTAGTGCATTTCACATACATAAAGACACTCTACCAGCTTATCCGTGCGGGATCTCTCATACACACACTTAGACTCGACGGGTTGCCTTGACAACCGCAGTCAGCTGATCACATGCTATCATTAGTACTGATATAACTAATGTAAAATGTTGACTATTGTGTGCGCTGGTGTGAATTTATGGTAAATTCACTGCTGTTTCACCTGTAACATAGTTTACCTTCTACAGTAAAGTCATGGAGGTTCCAGGTTGAAGATGAGACTTTAATAGGATGGAATTTGCACAATGTTTTTTTTATTTTTATTTTTTTATTTAGCAAATAGGTGAGTTTGGGCAAATGAAGTTGACGCCACACGCGCACATTCTCTCATGAGTAAAATGTGAGCTTTATCCGAGTGTCGTACTGAAAGATTTCTACACAAACACAAACACGAACACTCACCTCGTAACCTGCCTTACAGTTTAACTACTTTGGTTACTACTTACGCTTCTTGCTTGTTTTTTTTTCTATTCTCATAAGCGGAAGTGCTAATGAGAAGATGAGTTTTTTTGGTTTCAGCTCTTAGTCTCTACTGGTGTCTGAATGGACAACCTGATTTAACTGCACGAACTACCATTTTTTTCTGATTAAGCTTGGCTAGAATGTCCGAGAAGAAACTACAGGACAACTGGACATGCCCAAAGGAGAAAAACGTCAAAAAAAATAAATAAAGCAAACGGGCATTTCAAACTGTCAGAAGAGTTGTTTTTTCCCCCATCGCTGGTTGCAGAGCTGATTTAATCTGTACATTTACATGTATGTTTTCAATATTGAATACACCAGCTATTACTCGCTCAAACAAACACTCACCGACAGACTGATTCTCAGGAACAAACAGATGTATTATTATTTCAGCTCCTTTATGAAAGACATTATCTTCGATGTTTGCTCTTATAAAACTGCATTGTGAAGTAGCGTGGATGATCTTGAAAACGTGTTCTTAAATTCGAGTTTTGTTCATTTAACATCCCCCCCCCCCACGCGCCTTCGCAGGTTGACTGAGTGGTCTTAGCACTTTTGAGTCTCGTGCTGTGATGAAGATGACATACAATAGTATGTTTTACTCTACTGAATGAAACGTTGCTTTTAAACTTGTTTTCAATATGACAAAAACATGAACCAGAAAAAAGAAGAAGAACGTGAAATAGGGTGGGAAACCTTTATAACGCTTTGGGTCTGTGGACTCAAACAAAATGTAAGTCTCAATGACAAAAGGTGTTTGTTCCTCTCAATAAAGCCAGACTCTATTTGGTTAACGGTTATCATGCCTGTGTTCCTATTGGTTGCTTGTTTGACTGTAGATAGCAAAATGGAATGAAGTCATACAGAGGAAGTAAGATAGTAAGCAAAACATATTGCAAAACACCAGAGCAAGATACAATTATTCAGTTAGTAGAGGCCCCAACACTCACACTTTAGTCCCTTAAAATGTAAGTGTTCAATTGCATTAGATACAAAATGTTAAACCAAGTGGCAATGGTAAAAATATTGAATGCTTTTTAAATGAGTATCTTATGCTCACAAAGGCTGCATTTATTTGATCAAAAATTGTAATATTGTGAAATATTATTAGTTTAAAAATAAACATTTCAATACATTTTAAAATATAATTTATTCCTGTGATGGCAAAGCTGAATTTTAGCAGCCATTACTCCAGTCTTCAGTGTAATGTGGTCCTTCAGAAATTATTCTAATATACTGATTGGGTGCTCAAGAAACATTATCAATGTTGAAATCAGTTGCGCTACAAGATTTTTTTTTGTAGAAACAATTTATTTTTTAGAATTCTTTCATAAGTTGAAAAGAACAGCTTTTGTTTGAAATCTTTCGTAACAAATATATTTACTGTCACGCAGTTTAATGCATCCTTGCAAAATAAATATTTTTTTCAATTAAAAAAAATAAAATTTCCCATCCACCAAACTTTTGAACGGTAGTATGCATTTTTAAGTGTTCAAATACATTTTGGGGCCACTGTATATAAGTGACTATAACAATCAGATGTGGGATAAGACCACAAAATTGTGCCGCTACTGGTTTTGGGATTGCAGCACATTTCAGAACAGATTACCAGAATGTAACAGGTCTTTGCAAAGAAGCTGATATTAAAGGATATTCAGTCATTCTTAATGGAAGTAATTTACATGGAGGTTTAACACGAACAGCATGTTCAATAATATAACTCCAGTGCAACAGACCTGGACCTCAAGAAACAGAAAAAAAAAAAGATGTAACATGAGTACACAATACAAAATGAAGTTTATTTGGCAACTTTGTCTTCAAAAATAATGTCATGTAATTTACAACATTTCTCAAACAGCACCTACTTCTTCATTAGAACCTCGTGAGACATTGCTCATG